TTTTAAGGTGTTCTTCAATTAGCCTGTATGGCTAATACTTTAGTGTGAATTTGTTTAAGATCTTATTCCCTCCAGGGACACTTGCAAAGAGAGAAAAGGTGGACTCTCAAACATGAGATTCTGGCTTAGGAAAGATTTAGCTGGGTAGAGGGAACTACCCAACCACATGAAATTAGGCATAAGTGATGGCCCCATTTTGTAGCCCCTCATCTTCTATTTGCATCCCCAGGTACTTTTGTTCCTTAATCTGTGGTATTTACATTCTCTTATATATCGTGTTGTACACTTTTGAAAACACTTTCAGATAACTTGTTTTCTGTAATGCTCGTTACTCCCCTTCAAGGAAGGTAGTATCATCTTTATCCAAACAGACTTGAAAATTGTTTTAGATGTTTTAGCTTCTAAAGTTTAGACTCTTCGCAGTCTGCTTACAACATTCCCTATCTTAGTGGTGTTTCCTGATGACTGGGTTTGTTTTTTGATTTATTTTATTTGTGTGCATTTTTTGAATAGGTAATGCTCTCTTAGATCCAGTGTCTGATAAATGAATTCTTTATGATACCCACTCCCCTGAGAGTATTTTCTTTTCAATGGAGAATTTTTGGAATGCAGGGGTCCTTCAGTCTCCAAGAGAAGTGAGTGTTACATTGGACTTCCCTCTGCTCAGAATACCTTGGCATTAGTGACCCCACCAGTGTGGACCGATTCAGAAAAAAACAATTTAGGGAGTTCTTTACTTTTTTGGAAATCAGCACAAGAGAAGGAGATTTTGCAGGCTTGGGACAAACGTCCTTGATTATTTATTTATTCATTTATTTTAAGATTTTTTATTTATTTATTGAGAGAGAGAGAGAATGGTAGAGAGAGCACGAGAGGGAGGGAGGTTAGAGGGAGAGGCAGACTCCCTGCCGAGCAGGGAGCCCGATGCGGGACTCGATCCTGGGACTCCAGGATCATGACCCGAGCCGAAGGCAGTCGCTCAACCAACTGAGCCACACAGGCACCCCGTCCTTGATTATTTAAAGAGTTCTAATGTGAAAGAGGAATTGTGTTTCTCTTTGTGGGCAGAGGCAGATTTACGATGAAGATAATTAGGTTTAAGCTTTAGGTCTCCAGACTTGTGTGGGCCCCTTCCAAGCCTCTGTACCTAATATTGAATCCTTAAATTTGTGTTATTTCACTTAAGAGCCCTCTCTCGGTTGTATGAATTTTAGAACCCACAAAATTGGATCTATCTCTTTTTGTGTGACTCCAGAGAGCAAACCAGGACCTAAGATAGGGAAATCTAGAGTGAGGATGTTCTATTAAAACCGCCAATTATTTCACTGGCAAAAAATTCGGGAATAAAAGAGAATTGCAATTCAGGACAAGGAAGTTATGGCAAAACCGTAGGCAAGTCCAGTAAACCAAGGAGAGGATGGCTCTTTTATACAGGAGGGTGGGAAGTTGAGAGGGCTGTTGAAGACAAAACGTCCATTGAAGTAAACTGGGAGTTCCAAGCATAGGGGCTTTTCATTGGTTGAGTTGTGACGGTCTCTCATTGGCTGGGGAGGAGAAAAACTTTTCTACTTCCGGCTGGGATAGTAAAGTGGAAGCTAAACCAGCATAAGGTACATCTTCTCCTGTTGGGTCTGTGTGGAACAGTGTGAGAGCTCCCCCTGCTGGCCTCTCCACTCCATTCTAAACAGTTTCCTTTTATTACACCTCTTGGCTCAATAAAGGAAAATCTTTCCATGGGTTAGGACTATTCCACCAAAAAGTTGGTTATTGTGGTAGGCACCCTCTATAGCCCACCCATAGTCATTCTTCCTTGACACACCCCCTTTTCCTGCTAAAAAAACTTGGATTTGTTCAAGAAGTTAATGGAGAGCCCAGATTGGAGAGCAGGCCTTTCCCCAAACCCCAAGAGTGAATTAGGATTGGTGTAAAGATGTCATGGTGTTCCCTTACCCTATGGTCAGTAAGTAGTCCAAGTCTGGGCAGCTAATCTAGTTCTGACTGATGACACAGTGGGTGGTGGGACTTCATTCCCTGAACTAAAATACAAGTCTTCATGAAGGTCTTTCCCCCTTTCCCTTTCATTCGTGAAAGTCAGAAGGGTTGGAGATACTGTAGCCCTTCTGTGGCCAGAGTATAAAAACCAGACTCAACATGCTAAGGATGGCAGAAGAGAAAGAGCAAAAGTGTTTAGGATCCTTATAGCATTGTTGAGGACCTGAACCAATATCAGGCAGCCATTTACCTCTAGATTATTTATGTGAAAAACATTAAATCCTTATTGCTTATGTACAGTTAGTTGTATTGTGCATTACTTGCAGCCAAAAGCATTTTTACTTAATTCAGTTGTGTTCCAGGAGAGAAACTTCTCTGTCTCTGGTGGGAGCCAGTTAGGGGACCAAATTGCCACAAAATAGGGATATTGCAGAGGGTATTTATGTCTTGGAGGGGAAGATTTGGGGAGGGGACAAATTGTTATTAAGAATAATCTTACATGATTAAAGCATGAACAACTTCGCATGACTTAAGTCCTTAGGTTCCATTCTTCTTCCCCAAGTCTTCATATTTCCTTCAGCCTATAACCATCTTTCTCACCTATATCTCTCCCCTCATCCACAGCCTCCCTCAACCCCACCCTTGACAGGAGGTAGAGATAAAGATTCAGCAGAAGGGGACAAGAGGACACTTTCTCCAGTTGGTGAGCTATGCAACAGTTTAGGACAATGAGGTAGGTTTTTAAGTCTTGACAGAAAATGCTATTGGTCAGTAAACAGATAAATTACAATGCAGCTTTCAAAAGTGTAGATGCTGGGTAATAAATAGTTGGAGGGAGACAGCCCTGATAGACTGAGGGGATGACACTCAAGACTGTAGTTTTCAGGGGCGCCTGGGTGGCTCAGTTGGTTGAGCAGCGAACTTCGGCCCAGGTCATGATCCCAGGGGCCTGGGATCGAGCCCCACGTCTGGCTCCCTGAGCAGGGAGCCTGCTTCTCTGTCTCCCTCTGCCCCTCCCCCTGCTTGCACTCTCTCTACCTCTCTCAAATAAATAAATAAAATCTTAAAAAAAAAAAAGACTGTAGTTTTCAAACTGGGGTAATCAGTCCCCTGGGGGATACATGAAGACTTTCCAAGAAGTATATAGCTCAGACAGTATTTTTTTAAAAAAGAACTTATTATGCAAAAAATTTAAACCTATACATAAAATAGAATAGTTCAATGTACCTATGTACCCAGCTTCAAACTATGGCCCTTTCTTGTTTCATCTATACATCCAGAGCTTCCCTCCCTCCTATATCATAATCATCACCGTTGCTTTTTATTGAGATACAGATGCAAAGATGACCCTCAACAATTCCTCCCATCCCTGTACTCCCATGCTGCCTCTCCCATGAGAGGAAATAAAAATGTTCTACAATTAGATTGTAATGATCATTGCACAGCTTTGTGAATATACTAAACACCACTGAAGTGTACACTTTAAATGGGAGAATTGTATCATATTTGACATATCTCAATGAAATTATTTTTAAAAAGTAGAGAAAGGAAATTTATTTAAAAGAAAAAAAAATGAGGTGGGATCTTATTGAAACTGGCCTGGCCTTGTGACTTGCTTTGACCATAATAGGCAACAGAAGTGACATGGTGTGACTTCTGGGCATTTCCCTTAATAGGCTTCCAGGCTTGAGCCACCCCAACTACCCTGCTAGAGAAAGAGCCCCAGTCAGAACTCAGCTGTTCATTTCAGCCATCCCAGCTGAAATGCCACAGAGATGCATGAGGCCATTTTGGTAACTCCAACTCCCGTTGAGCTGCCCCAGCCAACGCCACGTGGAGCAGAGACCAGCTCTCCCTGCCAAGCCCAACTATTAAGTCTTGGGATGGTGGAGGACTGGCAGCGCTAAATCTCCGGAAGGGGCTGAGTATTTGCCTATTCTCATCTCAGCCAGCAGGGACTTCATGTACTTCATACCCTCACAGCTGCCAATGATTCTCTGACTTCCTCAGACAGGGAGGCAGCCTCATACGGCCCTTCACCTCACAGCTCTCTCTCCCTGGCTTGTCACCTTCCACGGCTCTATTTATTCACCTTTAGGCATGTTGGCTTTCCTTGAGCAGACCAAGCACCCACCCAACGGGGCCTTTGGAGTTAACCTCTGCTCTTCCCCCAGGGGTCCACGGAACCACTCCTTCACCTCCTTTCCATTTTCACTCAAAGGTCACCTTATTGAGAACTTCCTTCTTACCTAGCTAGTCTGTCTAAAATGACAACTTCTTATTCCCTATCTCTGTCCCCTGCTTTGATTTTTCTCTATCATTTAGCACTGCCTAACATAGCATTTAATTTTACTTATTTATCTCATTTATTTTCTGTCTCTCCAGCTAGTACTTAACCTGCATGAGGGATTTTTGTCTGTCTTGATTATTTGCTGTATCTCCAGTGTCTAGAAAACAGCCTGGCCCATAATAGGCAATTTCACAAATTATCTGTGGAAAGAACGGATGAAATGTTCCCTGGTCACAGAGGATCTCCTTGACCACTCTGTGTTAAACAGAAATCTATTTCCCGTTCCCTTTTTTTCTTCATGATACCACTATTTGATATGTATTTGTTACCGTCTTTCTCCCCACTACAATGAAAATTTCTCTAACAATGGGGCAGTAAAGATTTGCTGAGTGAATTAATTCCTCAAATGGATAAATGAATCTAGCAGCACCTGATGCTGGGCTCAGACAGCTCTAAGCTACCTTTGGGATGGTACTAATTTGGGGGCTCTCCGCGGGCGTGCACCCCCTCCCAAGGAGGAGTCTGATAAACAGGGGTGGACTGCGGCAGCGCCCCTTTAAACCAGCCCGGGACGCCGGGCCGCTAGCACTGGTGGCAGATTCAGCAGGGCCTGGCATCGCCGGTTTAACCCGAGTCTAACCCAGTCCGGCGATTTCCGGGGCGGTGTCATTGCCCATTTAAGAGCAGAGCGCCCCGCCCCCAGAGGGCGGAGCCTAGAGGGGGCTTTAAGGGGCGGGCCGGCGGACGGCTGGGGTCCTTCAGAGGATTAGCGCAGGGTGGGCGCGCGCCTCAGGCCGCCATTTCTTGGCGTCTCCAGAGGAGTCGCCCCCTACTCAGTCGCGCTCGGGACCTCTACCCTCGCGTCGCCGGCTCTCCGCGCCGCCTTAGCCACCGCGCCTCCGTCCCCAGCCCAGGTAAGCGCGAGGCCCAGTGGCCCCGGCCGCACTGCCCAAGTACCGGGCTCGGTCCACGCCCCGCTTCCCTTCACCGCTCCGGGGACCCATTCTAGCTGGCGTCGGGGCTCTGTTCTCCCGGCCTTGCCCGGGGATGTTCCGGCTCCCGCTGCTTCCCCCGCCGGCCGGCAAAATATTAAACCTGCCGGGAGGGGAGGGGCGGCGGCGGCCAATGGGGCCGGGCCGCTGAGTTTCGGGCGATACTGGGCGGCGCGGCCGGAGCGGGGAGCCAGGGGTGAGGCGGGTTAATGTGTGCCGGTCCGACCCCTGCCCGTTCCTGGCCATGACTCCCTCCCGAGCAGCCGGGGGTCGCCCTTCACTAAGAGTTCTCGGCTTAGCTCTCTGGTTGGCGAGGGGGATGTGGCAGGTCAAGGGATAAAACCCACCGTGGTTCGTGTTACGGTCTTAAAACAAAAACCCGAGTGGACTTTTGTGGTTGGTTTGCGTTGGACTGAAACTTCAGCCACTTGGAAATTGTGAGAGGCAGGTGGGTTCCCAGCAATGGAGGGATCCAAAGGATCCTCCCCCGCCCCCACCCGTGACTTTTTCGGTGTGTAAATATTAATTGTACCTGTCACTATCTTTATGGTTACTAAGTCTCATGAGTTTTAGCTAAGAGCGAGAAGACCCAGGTCTTTTAAACCTTTTGACAACATTTTAAATTGATACCAGGAGTATTTTTTTAAGAATTAGGGGGAAAGTTACCCATAACTCTATTTCTGACGTTGCTAAAACATTGCTGAACCCTACTTAACATAGTGGATTATTAGTACACGTAAGCTAGTTTGCAGGATTTTCTTTTTATAGGTAAGCTTCATTAGAAAATGATATGTATTACTTTTGTTGAGTTACTCTCTTGCGGACGTTTTCTGTGTTGGGATTAGTGAGGCCAAAGATATTAATATCTATGGCACTTGCTGTATATTGGTATATTGCTTTATCAAAAAGCAATTGCCTACCAAAGAATGTGGCCACCCGTTACCTATGAGAGTATACACGTTTCATGACAAACTTGAGTTTTAGATACATACTTAAAAAAAATCTTCAGTTAATTTAGGTAGTAAATGGATTATTTCAGTTTGCTTTTTTATGATTGTAAAGAATACCTTTCTTTACAGAGCAAAATGAGAAATCACAGATTAAAAACGCATTAAAAGAAAAAACAAAAACAAAAAAAAAAACAGGGCGCCTGGGTGGCTCAGTTGGTTAAGCGACTGCCTTCGGCTCAGGTCATGATCCCGGAGTTCCGGGATCGGGATCGAGTCCCGCAGCGGGGAATCTGCTTCTCCCTCTGACCCGCTCTTGTGCTCTCTCTCACTCACTCTTGTGCTCTCTCTCACTCACTCTCGCTCTCAAATAAATAAAATAAAATCTTTTAAAAAAACAAAAAAACCATGTACACCTACTCTCTGAGAATTACACTGTATCATTTTAGTGTCAGACAAGTTCTTTATTGAGTGCCTAATATGCTGATTGCCGTGCTAGCTAGGTCATCTTGCTGAATGAGTCAGACCAGATCCTTGAGTCTTAGTGGGGAAGTACCCAGTAAAAAAAATAATTAACAATTGGGTATTTAATTACAGTTTTGGTAAATGTTATAAAGAAGAGTCTAAGGGTACTAAAAGGAGCACCTAATTTAGACTCAGGAGTCAGGGAATGCTTTTCTGAGGAAATGGGAGAGAGGTGAAGTGGAAAGAGAGCATTCCAGAAAGATGGAACAGCCAAAAAAAAAAAGAGGTCCACAGTTAAAAAGATTGTTGGATTGAACAGAAGGGATACTAGAGCAGAGTGAACAGCTGGGAGTGGTCTGCCTGAAGGGTCTGGCAGGTAGGAGGAGCTGGATCCAGAGCAAGACCATTAAAGATTTTTTAACTGGGATCAGATTTGTGGTTGCTAAAAATCCACTGCTGTAGCATTTAGAATGAAAGTGGTAGTGGGGGATGGAGAAAGAGTGAATATGGGAAAACTTTTTTTCTTTTAACAATTTTTTTTTTTTTTAAGTACGCTCCATGTCCAGCGTGGAGCCTGCCTAACGCAGGGCTTAAACTCATGACTCTGAGATCAAATCCTGAGCTGAAAGCAAGAGTCGGATGCTCAACTGACTGAGCCATCCAGGTGTCCCTTAACAATTTTTAAAAACTCTTTTGACACATTCATATATTCTTATTAAAGAGGACTTAAGTACCTCCACATGACCCTCTCCAGAGATAACCTCACTTAACCGCTTGCACGTCTTAGTCGGTTAGGCGTCTGCCTTTGGCTCGGGTCATGATCTCACGGTACTGGGATTGAGCCCTACAGAGCCCTACGTCGGGCTCCCTGCTCAGCAGGGAGTCTGCTTCTCCCTCTCCTTCTGCCTCCTTCCCTGCTCATGCTCTGTTTCTGCCTCTCAATCTTAAAAAAAAACAACAGTTTGCATGTCTTAGTCCTTTTGTGTATACGAGGGATAAAACTTACCACTTTTCTCTGATTTCATTTTTCACTTAGAAATTTTGTCTAAGTCAATTGTATTTAAAAAACAGCTGTGTTGTATACCATTTGATGTACCATAATTTGTTTAACTACTTGCATGTTGATGGACATATTTAAAATTTAAAATTATGCCCTGAAAATCCTTACTTCTACAACTTGGATCACATCCTATTTCTTAGGATATCCTACCAAAAATATAATTGCTGAGTTAAAGTGTAGGCACATTAACATTTTTGATAGTGTGGTTAAATCCTCCAAAGAGGACAGTGTAGGGTAATTGTTTTTTCCATATCCTTTCAGTGGTAGAATTCTCGCCTGCCCATATCGTTTTCAACATTGGCTATCTTGAGTCTTAAATGACCGTATCTTTTTTGTTTCTTTGTTTAAACATTTTTTAAAATTTTTATTTATTTGACAGAGAGAGAGACAGATAGGAAACACAGTCAGGGGGAGTGGGAGAGGGAGAAGCAGGCTTCCCGCCGAGCAGGGAGCCCGATATGGGGCTTGATCCCAGGACCCTTGGATCATGACCTGAACCGAAGGCAGATGCTTAATGACTAAGCCACCCAGGTGCCCCGATAGTATCTTATTTTTTTAATTTAGATTTCCTTTGTTATTGTTGAGGTCAAACATTATTTTGTACATATTTTCATTTCATACTCTCTTTTAGAGCTTGTTTCTTCATATCTTGCCCTTTTTTTCTGTTGCATTATCTTAATGGTTTGTGATAGTTCTTTATTAAACTGCATATTAATCCTTTAAAAAAATTTTTTTTTTAAAGATTTTATTTATTTATTTGAGAGAGAGAGAATGAGAGATAGAGAGCACGAGAGGGAAGAGGGTCAGAGGGAGAAGCAGACTCCCCGCCGAGCAGGGAGCCCGATGCGGGACTCGATCCCAGGACTCCAGGATCATGACCTGAGCCGAAGGCAGTCGCTTAACCAACTGAGCCACCCAGGCGCCCATCCTTTAAAAAATTTTAAAAGCTCTTTAATATATTGTCTCCTAGTACTTTATCATTTCTTTGATTAAATTCTTAGTCCATCTGAAATTTATTTTCATGTAAGTTGCTTTTATATTTTGTAAAAAGTTGTTTGTGGCATTGGGTTTTATGGTTCAAAATACATAGTTATTAAATCTTTTTTTTTTTTTTTAAAGATTTTATTTATTTATTTGACAGAGAGACTACGAGAGCAGGAACACAAGCGGGGGAGTGGGAGAGGGAGAAGCAGGCCTCCTGCTGAGCAGGGAGCCCGATGCGGTGCTCTATCCCAACCTGAGCTGAAGGCAGATGCTTAACAACTGAGCCACCCAGGCGCCCCCATAGTTATTAAATCTTAAAGAAGCTTTGTTTTTCTTAGCAGGTTAACTCTACTTGCATAATGAATTTTTATTTTCAAGGTACAAGATAAGGTGAAAGTCAGAAAACTTGTTTTATAGTTCATTTGCTTCCTAGGAATCACAGTTGTAGTGCATTTTGAACATGATTTTCCCTGAGAAAAACTTTTATTTTGGAAAAATTCAAGTAGTCAGAAGAGTATAATGAACCCCCATGTACCCATCATGCTCCAACAATGGCCACTTATCTGGGCAATTTGTTTAGTTTCTATCCCCACTTAACTTTAATACCACTATTTTATCTAAAAGAAAAATGGCAGTAATTCCTTGGTTATCATAAACAATCCAGTCAGTGTTCAAATGTGTGCCAAATTTATGTCCTTAGGAAGTTCACTGTTATGGCTTTGCTAGCTTACCTAATTACATAGCAGTATGCATACTTGTAAAATGAGGATATAATCCTCAATTTATAGCAGTTGAATTTTTTATTACGTTGATATTATTCCAATATTTCAGCTTATATTTTCATCATGTTTATAAATGCATCTAATTTAAATTTTATTATTTTTATCTTTTTTTTCTTTTTTGGTCGAGATTGAGAGAGAGAGAGAGAAAGAAAACAGGTGAGCAGGGTGAGAGGGAGAGAGACTCCTAAGCAGGCTCCACGCCTAGTGCAGAGCTGATGTGGGTCTCAGTCTCACGATCTCAAGATCATGACCTGAGCTGTAATCAAGAGTCGGAATCTTAACCAACTGAGCCACCCAGGCACCCCACAAATGCATCTAATTTTAAGTATCAACTGGTTATACAAGACTTCTTATAAATTATATGTGTAACAGCAAATGTGTGATTTCTTTTTTTTTTAAGATTTTATCTATTTAGAGAGAGAGAGAGAGACAGCATGAGCGGGAGGGGTAGAGGGAGAGAGAATCCCAAGCAGACTCTGCGCTGAGCGCAGAGCAACATGGGACTCAATCTCAGGACCCCAAGATCATGACCTGAGCTGAAACCAATAGTCGGACGCTCGAATGACTGCACCTCCCTAGCGCCCCAACAAAGGTGTGACTTTAAAATTTCCTATATTTTGAAATATTAGACTTACGTGGAAGTTACAGTAGTAGAGTTCCCATATACCTGGGACTTAGCTTCCCCCAATGATAATATCAGACAACTTAAAAAAGAATTTGAATTAGGATCTAATGTAGGTGCATTGTGATTGATGGATATGTATTTTAAGTCTGTTTTAATCTGTAGTTTTCTTTGCATTTCATTTCCCCCTTTGCAATTTGTCGAGTAAGCTGAAGTAAGTTTTTAAAAAAACAAATTTATCGTGTATGTTTTGTGCTTGTATTTTCATTCAGACTCTTTTTAGCTATGATCTTTGATGATTTATCTCTAAAATACAAGTTTTACATGAATTGTTCTGTGGTGAGACAGACCAAGATTTGGAATCAGAAAAATCGGAGTTTGATTTTTTTTTAAATTTTTTTTTTTAATGTCTTCATTATTTACTAAATAATGGACCTGGCCAGTGGTTTCATTTATCGGACCCTTAGTTTACTCATCAAAATTAGACAGTATTTTGGGGAGTTTTTCTGTGAAGCAAGTAAGATTATTTACTTACTATTTTTTGTACTTGATGATGAAATGTTCTGGGTGGCTGGCTATTCAAAAAAGGAATTATGTCTTCAGAAGCTTAAGATAAATGAGACAGACATGTAAATAATTAAAATCTGATTAGTGAAACAGTAAAATATTTTCAAGTTTCAGTGGAAGTGTGATGATGGGAGTGGCTAACTCTTTGGTTATCAGAGAATGTTTCTCAGGGGAGATACAGGTAGAGTTGAGTTAAATAGATAGGGAGTCTCTGACACATGGGCTTTCCACATCTGGTATAACAAGTACCTTTCTTAGGCAGCTGAAACGAGAATGGATAGCAAAGTGCAAAAGGAGCAATGTCTGAAGAGAAACCTGAAGAGAAAGAGACTGCAGCCAGATGTTATATATGAGTGCTTTGTAAACTTTCATGAAAAGGGATCTAAAATTTTATTTTCTTGGGATTTAAGTAGATGAACATACATCTTGTCCTTTGTTCATAATTTTGTCCATATTTTGCTCAATTATGTAGGAATATCCATATGTGTGATATGTGTATGATCTTCAATTTATAGGCACTTATTTTTTAATGTGCTGGTATTTAATTTTTAAATTAGTTTTTATTTTAATCAAATTTATAAATGTATCTAGTTGAGTCATCTAATCTGAAGGCTTCTTTTGAAAAATAGCACTCTGCTGAGTTTGTCCTCAAGACAAACACTTTCACATTTTAAGTAACATGCTTTTATTGTCACTTCTTGATATTTGGTTTCAAGAATTATCTGTTGAATTACAACTTGGCAAGATGATGAATTGGCTTTGTCTGTATCTACCTCTGTTATATACCTCCTCTTATAGTTACTTTATAGTTATGGTTAGATCAATATTTAGTGTTTATAGTATTATGAATATTTAAACTATTAGCTAAGTCATGTATTATACTGTGATTACTTTCCCTTTTCTTCTCAACTTCCTGTTTTCTCTGGAATTAATCGTTGTCCTTATTTTTCTCATTCTTATTTGCATAAATTAAGCATTAGGTTAGCAAGATAGTTTTTATGGTGTTACCATTTGTGTTTGCTGTATTTTTAAAATTACTAAACTAGGGGCGCCTGGGTGGCTCAGCTGGTTAAGCTCTGCCTTCAGCTTAGGTCATGATCCCAGGGTCCTGGGATTGAGCCCCACACTGGGCTCCCTGCTTAGTGGGGAGCCTGCTTGTCCCCCTCCCTCTGCCTGCGGTTCCTCCTGCTTGTGTGCTCTCTCTCTGTCAAATAAATAAATAAAATCTTAAAAAAAATAAAAAAATAAGATTACTAAACCTATTTTAATTATTTTGATTAAACTTAACATTCTTAATAAAGATGAGAAGTGGCCTTAAAATAATTTAACATTATAAAGAATTGACTCTATTAAATAGCAATTAAAAATCTTTAAATAATAGAATATTTAATAAAAACATAATATTTGAATTATATTTGTATTTTAGCTGAGATAGGTGATTGTTTATTTTTTAAGATTTTATTTTATTTATTTATTTTTTAAGATTTTATTTATTTATTCATGAGAGACAGAGAGAGAGAGAGGCAGAGGGAGAAGCAGGCTCCCAAGGAGCAGGGAGCCCGTTGCGGGACTCGATCCCAGGACCCTGGGATCATGACCTGAGCCGAAGGCAGATGCTTAACCATCCGAGCCACGCAGGCGCCCTAAGATTTTATTTTTAAGTAATCTCCACACCCAGTGTGGAGCTCGAACCTACAACCCTGAGATCGGGAGTCGAGTGCTTCACCCACTGAACAAGCCAGGCGCCCGTTTTTGTATTTTTATTGTGATTGCTCAGAAAGAAATGGAACTTTTTAGGACTTTTATGATCATCAAAGGATAAGTTAGCGAATGGATTGTCTCCTAATATTTGTAGAGATATACGGCAATTGTACATAAAATTCATTGACCCAGAAGGCCTGATAAACTTCGTAAATGTTCTTGGGCGCCTGGGTGGCTCAGTCAGTTAAGCGACTGCCTTCGGCTCAGGTCATGATCCTGGAGTCCCGGGATCGAGTCCCACATCAGGCTCCCTGCTCAGCAGGGAGTCTGCTTCTCCCTCTGACCTTCTTCCCTCTCATGCTCTCTCTCTACCATTCTCTCTCTCTCAATAAATAAAAATAAAAAAATTAAAAAAAAAAACCAAACTTCGTAAATGTTCGTTGTCTCGTATCAGCTTCTTATAAAATAGACCAGTAAGTTTAGAAATGCTGTAAGTCATAGCTCTGCATATAAAAGTTTTCAAAAACTGTGAGTTAAAGTAGCTAGTTTTTTTTTTTTTTTTTAAGATTTTATTTATTTGGCAGAGAGACGGCCAGAGAGGGAACACAAGCAGGGGGAGTGGGAGAGGGAGAAGCAGACTCCCCGCTGAGCAAGGAGCCTGATGCGGGGCTCGATCCCAGGACCCTGGGATCATGACCTGAGCTGAAGGCAGACGCTTAACGACTGAGCCACCCAGGTGCCCCTAAAGTAGCAAGTTTTAATTATGTTTTTCAAATTTACTTCTTTTAATAGTATGTCTGGAATGGCCATAGGATTTTACTAAATAACACCATTTGTCTGCACATTGCGGGGAGTCTGCTAATACCTTTTTCTCTCTCTGGTTTTATTAGTGACAAAAATGCTGAGCTTCTTCCGTAGAACACTTGGGCGTCGGTCAATGCGTAAACATGCTGAGAAGGAACGACTCCGAGAAGCTCAGCGAGCTGCCACACACATTCCTGCTGCTGGAGACTCTAAGTCCATCATCACGTGTCGGGTGTCTCTTCTGGATGGTACTGATGTTAGTGTGGACTTGCCGGTATGTAGGTCCTGCTGAGCATTTGCAGATTCTATATGAGACCACTTTCTTCATTTGAACTTTCTGCTGGTAACTTCCTGGGGAAATTAGGTAATATGGGTTAGTGTGAATCAGGCACTGTAACATTGACGTACATGGATCAAGATACACAGCACGATAATACTTCTCTGGGATTAGTGGAAGTTACCTGAAATATTTAAATGACAGGGTAGTTATTGGCACCGATCATTTGTGAATTTATGTGTGTTCTTTATGATGGCAATACATAGGGTACTCTAGTGGATTTCTCACAATCCTTGTTGAGCAATTATTAAAACAATGAGAATATTTGGGAATAATGATACATGTATACTATAAGATTTTTAATTCTCTATATTTTTCTTTAATTTTCAAAACACTCCTCACTTTTCCTCGAAACATATTTCTTCAACATTTTTAGTGTGCTTGCAGAAATTTTAATGAAATGGAGTAAAAGGACTTCATACTCCTCAGCTCTGTTTTCTCTTTGCTTCCAAAGTAGTTTGCAGAGGAGGTTTTTTATACACTGTAATCTTTATTTCAAGACAGGATGTTGTGATTTTATTAAAATTTTAGGTGGTTTCTTTTTGTAGTTATGAATGTATAATTATAGCTCACGATGTGAAACAGTCTGATACATTTGAAAAGGGTTAACTTATGCCTTTTTGAGGGGCAAGAGAGGTAGTTATATGGTTTGGGGTGAGTTGAGTTTCTTTCTGAGCTATTTACTAATACCAAATGTCTTTATTCTGCATTAAAAGATATATGTAATGGGGCGCCTGGGTGGCTCAGTCGGTTAAACCTCTGACTCTTGGTTTCCGCTCAGGTCATGATCCTCTGGTTTGTGGGATCGAGCTCCGCATCAGGTTCTGCACTCAGCACAGGCGGTCTGCTTGAGATTCTTTCTCCCTCCCTCTCCCTTCCTCTCTGCTTCTTCCCCTGCGCACATTCTCTCTCTCAAATAAATAAATAAATAAAATCTTAAAAAAAAAGATTTATGTAACTAAGCTATAAAATGTATGATTTGATATGTCATTGGATGTTCACAGTCTTCCCTCCCTACACATTCTTTTTAGTATACACCTATATACCCAAAATGCAATAAAAGTCTTTGTGCAAAGTGGTAGCCTAAATGCTGCTACATTATACAGTTGAATAAACTCTGAAAGACCTTTAACTTAACCTTTAACTGTGACCTTTAACTCACTGAGTGAGACTGAGGAATTAGATAGTTTATTTAAATGAATAATCTGATTAATTGGATAATTTAGAATGTGCTAGATATATACCTTACACATTTTAAAAATAATGGAATGTGATAAAATTAAACATAGGATTTCTTGAAGTGTTTTGAAGTAATCATCATGGGTATGTTTTATTATCTTTTTATGTTAAACTGGACATCTTTAGGGTTTTTGATTCTGGAAGACTTGAAAGCATTTACATTTTCTTCCTGTAAGGGCTTCTTGGGGTTTGTCAAGCATTCCAATATGTGATACTTCTTTGAGGAGTTTTCATATTCATTTCTTTCTTGATAAGTATCTTAAGGGTTTTGTGTACTATTCCATTAAAATATCATTAGATATGTGATAAAAGCTCGAGATTGCTGTGTAAGAGACTGGAAAGAAGTTTCTTGTTACCTAATGTTTGAAGTATGCAGTCTCAGGGTTGTGGATGGAGAGGCTAGGAAATACTAGGAAAGTAGACTTGGTAAAGGATCTTTTTAAAGAGGCAGTGTAGTGTGCAGGAGAAACAGCATGAGGTTTTAAAGTAGTGGAACAAATGGCTAGTGACTGGTACAGAATGGTTTCCTATGCTTGGTGTGCTCAGTAGGGTGGATGTGATGCTTGATCAAGGCCAGAAGTGCTAGCTGACCTCATATGTAGACAATTGCAGTGAAAAAGCCAAGAGTTTTAAATTTGACTTTTTGTGGAACTAGAACAATTGCCTTTTCAGCTCTGCAGGTGAAATCCTAGAGTTAGGCTCTAATTCTAGATGCTTGCATGAGTTTAAAATGGGCATTGGCCTGCCAGCGAAACTTGTTTTACTACCAGACAAAAATAGACCAGAGGAATATTAATTTCTAAAAAGAAAGTTTTCCCTTTTTTTTTTTTTATTTAGTTTCTCAACCAGTCTAGTATGATTCCAAAAGAGGATTTAGAATTGATTTTGGAAATTGGATGAAACACATACTCCTTTCCCACTGGGATTAAGGTCACTAGTGATCATAGTGAGCCATTGTGAAACTAAGATGATTGCCCAGGCAATGTGTAAGTGATTATCAGTGATTAAATAGATAATTTAGATATATGGACTTAAGATTAAAATATACCAGTAGCAATGGTCATTTTCTTCCTTCTGCTGTCTTCCTCTCAAAACTGGGGGAGGGATATAAGTACCTTCTACTTGCTTGCTCCCCCCCCTTTTAAAGAACAAATTACCATGAGAGTGCCTAATGCCTTTCAGTGAATGATAAAAGCATCAGGTTAGAAATTTCTAACTATCTGATTTTTAAATTTTCTCTTTGGAAATGCCACAGAAACTTTGATTTATGAACTTAGTATTGTTTAGTAAATAGTCTTTTATCATTCTACATCTCCCAAGTTTTGAATTAATAAAAAATGTTTGGTTAATCAATTGATAATAATCTTAATATATCGGGTGCCTGGGTGGCTTAGTTGGTTAAGCGACTGCCTTCGGCTCAGGTCATGATCCTGGAGTCCCAGGATTGAGTTCTGCATCAGGCTCCCTGCTCAGCGGGGACCCTCCCCCCTCTTATGCTCTCTCTCTCTCATTCTCTCAAAATCTTAAAAAAAAAAAAAACCTTAATATATCTACTTTGCTGATGTAGGCGCTGAAGGCTTTAAATTATATAGCCCATGTGTAGTTATACTTTTAGATAAATAACATTTATACCTTAGCTATCCTATGTTTATGAAGACTTAACATTGTTAAGATGGCAGTACATCCCAAATTGATCTACAGATTCAGCATAATCCCCACCAGAATACCAATTGATTTATTTGTAGAAATTGACAAGCTTATTTTAAAATTGATATGGAATTGCAAGGGACTTAAAATAGCCAAAACAATACTGAAAAAAAAAAAACAAAACACAAAGTAGTAGGATTCAAGCCTTACTGTAAAGCAGCAGTAATCAAGATGATGTGCTACTGGCACAAGAATAGACATATAGTAGTGCCTGGTGGCTCAGTGGAGCATGTGACTCTTGATTTCGGGGTTGTGAGTTTAAGTCCCACACTGGGTGTAGGGATTACTTAAAAATAAAATCTTAAAAAAAAAAGAGTAGACACATAAATTATTTCAACAGAATAGAGAACCCAGTTGTAAACCCATACATCTGTGGTCAATTGTTTCTTTGGGGGAGGGGTGGTTCTTAAGATGTTTTTTAATGAATAATTTTTTTCAGTTGAAAAATTTGTATAAAATAAACCATTTTATTTATTTTTTTTAAATTTTATTTATTAGAGAGTGAGCAAGAGAGCACTGGGGGGTGGGGGGGAGAAGCAGACTCCCCGCTGAGCAGGGAGCCCCACATGCGGCTCCATCGCAGCGCAGGGCTCAGTCCCAGGACCCTGGGATCATGACCTGAGCAGAAGACAGATGCTTAAACAACTGAGCCACCCAGGCGCCCCATAAAATTAACCATTTTAAAATGCATAATTCAGGGGGCCTGGCTGGCTCAGTTGGAGGAATGTGTGACTGTTGATCTCGGGGTCATGAGTTCAAGCCTCATGTTGGGTGTAGAGATTATTTCAATAAATAAAACTTTTAAAAAAATGCATAATTCATTGGTGTTTAGTACAATCACTATGTTGTGCAACCATCACCTCTGTTTAGTTCTAAGATATTTTTGTCATCCCAAATGGAAACTCTGTAACTCCCATCAGCCCGTGGTAACTGCTAGTTGGCTTTCTTTCTCTCTCTAAGGATTTGCCTGTTTTGGATGTTTTATATAAATGGAATATTATCCAATCTGTGACCTTTCATTAACTTAGCCTAATGTTTTTGAGGTTCAGACATACTGTGGCGTTTATCATTACTTCATTCCTTTTTATGTTGAATAATATTCCATTGTATGATAAATCATATTTTGTTTATCCGTTCATCAGTTGATGGACAACTGTGAATAGTGCTGCTGTGAATATTCATGTACAAATGTTTGTTGGAATACATGCTTTTAATTCTTTGGGGTATGATACCTAGGAGTAGAATTGCTGGGTCATATGATAATTCTATGTTTAATTTTTTGTGGAACTGACAAACTGTTATCCATAGCAACTGTATCATTTTACATTCCCACCAGCAATGTAGGAGGGTTCCAATTTCTCCACATCCTCAGCACTTGTTATGTTCCATTTTTTAAATTGTAGTCATCCTGGTGGGTGTGAAGTGATAACCTCGTTTGTGATTTGTAGTTTCCTAATGATTACTGATGAGCATCTTTTTATATGTGTACGGGTCATTTGTACATCTCCTTTGGAAAAATGTCTATTCAAATCGTTTGCTCACTTAATTAAAAAATTTTCTGGGTGCCTGGGTGGCTCAGTTGGTTAAGCGACTGCCTTCAGCTCAGGTCATGATCCTGGAGTCCCAGGATCGAGTCCCACATCGGGCTCCCTGCTCATCAGGGAGTCTGCTTCTCCCTCTGACCCTCTTCCCTCTCGTGTTCTCTATCTCTCATTCTTTCTCCAATAAATAAATAAAATCTTTAAAAGTAAAAAAATAAAAAAAATTTTCTAGCGTTCATTTGAAATATAGTTGACATACAATATTATATTAGTTTCAGGTGTACAACACAGTGATGGGGCAATTATATATATGTTATGAAATGCTCACCATGATAAGTAGTTACCATCTGTCACCATACAAAGTTGTTATATTATTGACTATATTCCCTATGCTGTATTTTCATCACTGTGACTTATTTATTTTATAACTGGAAGTTTGTACCTCTTAAT